AAAAGAATGTCTCCTGTGGAAGCATCCCTTAGACTTCACCTCCAGAACATGATTATCCTCACTGTTGTAAATTTGAGGAGAAGCAGAGGAATACCAAATCAGCTTCACAGCACATAGACTAGTATTTCTTTACCACTTCCCTGTACTAAAAAAAACCCCCACAAAACCAAAAAAAATTCAAATAATTTTTACCTTTCTTCTCTCAGTTCATAAATATGTAAGGCATATTTAGGATTTTTTTCTTTTTTAAAATACCACATTAGTTATTAAGTTGGCAGCATTATAAAACACAAATGAGATTATTTATTTACTGCCTATGTAATGAATGCCTACTGTTCATTTTGTTAAGTTATAGGAATATATTATACTGACGTAAAATGCTCACAATTTTAGTAATTCTTCTTTCAGCTCCATGTCATTGCATTCTGATGACTTTTCCATGTTAACAACTTCATTCACAAAAAATTTAGCAAAGTCCACCACTGCATTACAACATTGACAGAGACCAAGTTTATCTTCTTGTATTTGTTGTTTTGTATAAGGTACAGGTAAGGGAGTAAGCTGATTCATTATCATGGCTAAAGATAAACCCACTGAGTAGGCCTTCTTGTTCTGAAGTTTCAAAAGCACTGGGGGGAAAGGAAAAAAAGAGAGAGAGAACATTTTGAGACATTAAGTTACACTTACTTAGTAGAGGAAAATGTGAAGAAAAACAATGTGACTACATAAGAAAGCCTTTAGTTTCAGGGAAGGAGATGGACTGATACCTGAAATAACATGAGCACATCCAGCAAGACTAAACATCATCAGCTAGTTTAATATGCTGTAGTTAAGATGACTATATATATGAGAATGACAAATATTAAAGCAGTCATGCATTTCAACATATTCTTCCTTTCTCTGTAGCACCATGATGAGGACTGAAAAAAATCTTTCTAGAACTAGTCTAAGTAAAATAATATTCATTTATCTGATCTGGAAAACTGATTTATTCTTGCTTTATTGTTATTGCCTGACTCCTTCTGTGCTTAGCAAAACCAGAGGCAAGAGCCCAGCCTTTCTGCTGAGATCTGACTCTACCTGAAGCAGCTCAGAACTGTCCTATACTCCACGGCAGAACCAACAGAGGGGCTCCTAGACTGAGGAAGCAGCATAAGAGACTCTCTGCTTAAACTGCACTTGGTATAGGCTGACTGCAGACTGGCTATCCAAAAACCCACATACTTCCAATTACTAAAATGCTTCTCTTGTTAAATTCTAACACAATTCAATAACACATCTCAGAGACTGCTACTATCAGACTTATACCTGATACAAGACACTTGATCTCATCTCATATATCAAACCAGAAACTACTACTTCCACCTGCTTAGCGGGTGCCCAAACCCCAACATTTTTAGATTTTATATGTAAGCCAGAAGAATGCTTTCCCCCCACCCATCAAATATTTCAACCTGCTTCAATCTGAAATAAAAGGTTTATACTACGAAAATATGGAATTGTATGATTTAAAAGTTAAATGATGAAGAATTTCACAAATCCATGTTATTCTCTGTTTCTGTAACAACAGTATGAATGGCTTACACCTCTAAATACAATTGTCACAGGACCACATTCTTGTAAGTGATGAAAAATAGCAGAATACTGCCTTTTCAACTGATGCTATTAATCCCATCTAAAAATCTTTTTCTAACAGACCAATATAAGCATTAAAATTATACCTTTTGTTATTTTGCCAAGTATAATACATTGTAAAGCCTGTCAGGACAGACATATTCTGAAACTATTCCAGCAAAAGCTAAAATAACTTGATAAATAAATGAGGAAATAATTTAGTTCAGAAATCACATGAGAAAGTGCATCTTACCTGTCTTCAAAGGCTGAAGCAATAACATAATAGTTTGACACACTTGCTCTCCAGAGGTCTGCTCAATCTGCTCAAGTAAACTCAAAAAAAGTTCTTTCGGATTGCATAGCTGCAGGAGAGGAACAATGCATATTTTTTAATCACCATGGTCATAAGCTAAAAAATTCATCACAAGCAAACTTCAATACAGAAGTTCCTGAACGTCAAGAAAGCAGATCTGAACAACCAAGGTAATCTTTAAGAAAACAAATATGAAACAGTAAGTACTTCCTTACAATTAATGTCATCTTTAGAGTGTGTACATGTGTACACTTTCATATAAGCTGAAAGCACATAAAAATAAATAATGACACTAAACTTGATTTCTGTGGTCTATAAAATCCTCACAGTACCTTAGCAAAGTAATCCTTACGAATAGAGAAAAAAGAAAAACTTCCGTGTGAATTTAACTCAAGCTATACAGAGTTTGCAAATTGTTTTTTTAATCTGTAGAAAACTAGCTCCCTTTCATTCATGTATTTAAAACTTTTTTCCCCTACTGCTCCATCAGAATCATCAGGTGCTCACTGTCATATTGTATCTACAGTAGACAAGAGGCAGTATTGCTGTGGCTGCTCTGATTGCAGCAGCTGGCTATCAAAACCTTTATGAGTTCTATCTGCCTTTTTCTTCTGGGTAATGCTATGTCTCTTTGTTTTGCCCAGCTACTAATTTCACAAGATTTATATGAGGTTCATTATCACTGAAAACACTAAGTCTGTGTCTATTTCAGATGAAACTGGCCCGTGAGTTTAAAAGTTATAGGAAATGGACAGAAGAACCCAGAAGTATTCATGCCTTGATTTCTCTGGAAATCAGAGGGGAAACTAGGACCTCTCCCTTCCCTAAAATTATTGCATTATAACCATATATTTAAAAAACATACCTGTGCCAACTGATCTAGTATCTTCAGGCAGTGTTCTCGCTTATCATCTTCCTGTTTATACATGAAAATACATCTAACAAGAGGAGAAATGAGGTTCCAACCCATATTCTTGACGATAACCTAAAAACCAGATTTTCAGAGAATAAACCAAAACCGGACATCTTCTAAACCCAGAAAGATGGTATATATGAAGGCCAAAAAAGACAATAGATCATTGTCCTGGTTGTAAACAACACCATAATGTCACTGAAAATTTAGCATCTATTACCATAAAGTTCTGTATTTGGCATACATTGTATTCTCTCCCCATACCTATAAACACAGCTGCATATTTCTGTATAGTTTTCTTCAATGTATTAATTCTGACATGTCAATATCTATTTCTAAGAATTTATATGACAATACATTGAAAACAAGACTGAGTAGAGGAGTTTCACTGAAAGAAACAATGCTTAGACAAATTATGTTTAACCTGAGGGGATCAAGATCTTCCGTTGTTACTCCAAACTCACAAAATTCAAAACCAGACTGTGACCCCCATTGAACATTGCCAAAACATTCCACCCTTCACTTTCTTTCTGAACTTCCCATTTATCTGTGTACAATTTAGTATATTCTTCCAGCTCCCCAAAGTGCCTACAGACATTAGCATCAGCTGGGTTGGCTCTTACAGTTTTGGCCAATATTATTATATTCATCTGTGGTGGGTTGACCTCAGACAGCAACTAAGCACCTACTAGCATGGGCTCCTCTCTCCATGGGGCCGCAGGTCCTGCCAGGAACCTGCTCCAGCACAAGCTTCCCACAGGGTCGCAGCCACCTTCAGGCATCCACCTGCTCTGACATGGGGTCCTCCACAGGCTGCAGGTGGATATCTGCTCCACCATGGACCTCCAAGGGCTCCAAGGGACGGCCTGCCTCACCATGGGCTTCTCCACAAGCTGCAGGGGAATCTCTGCTCTGGCTCCTGGAGCACCTCCTCCCCCTCCTTCTTCTTCACTGGCCTTGGGTGTCTCCAGAGCTGTTTCTCTCACATATTCTCACTCCTCTCTCTGGCTGCAATTGCTGTTGCACAAGGGTATTTTCTCCCTTCTTAACTATGTTATCCCAGAGGCACTACCACCATCGCTGACGGGCTCAGCCTTGGTCAGCAGGGTCCGTCTTGCAGCCGGCTGGCATTGGCTCTATCAGACATGGGGGAAACTTCTAGAAGCTTCTTGCAGAAGCCGCTCCTGTAGCACACACACCCCCCATTACCAAACCCTTGCCACACAAACTCAATACGCTGAAACACTGGTCTATTATCAACACTGTTTTGGTCACAAATCTAAAACACAGCACCATGCAAGCTGCCATGAAGAAAATCAGCTCCATGGTGGCCAGACCTAGTACACTATCTGAAATCCTGTCCTGCAAAAGAGGGACACTGTCACTTTCTTTTAGTTATGCTTTTGTCCTCTCTTTGCTTAACTCACTGAAAAACAGTTATTAATGGTTTTGTTAAGATTATCATGACTTGGTTTCTGTGAGCTACCTGAAATTACACAAGAATGTGCACTTAACACATAGCAACTTATTAACTATTCATATTCATATGTACAGCCTTGCTCCACAGTGAAAGTAGCTTTTCCTTTTTAATAAGCAGTTTTATCTATTTAATGTTGTGTTACTGCACAACTAATGTATAATGCAAACTTACCTTATTTTTCTCATTTTGAATTACTTCTAATAACTGAGCTGCATACCCATCTTCTAAACATTTCTGACCTGCTACCTGAAACAGATTAAAATCTTCTCCCTTGAAATCAGCTTCTTCCAGAATTTGCTGGAAATAAAATATGCATGTTTAACTCCACACTTACGAAAGGCAAATAAAAATAAGAAAATCTAAGCCTTCATTTCAAAATTAAATGTAGTGTCACTGTAACTTAATCCTGCCCTATATAAAATAGTTCACATATTAAAAATGCTATCAAGAGCTACTGCAGAAGACAAAGCAGTATTTCAGCAGCACTATCTAAGTCTAGATTGCAGCATGCTGCTTGGAAGATGTATTTTCTCCAACAACCTGCTAGGGTTCTGTTCCTTCAGACAGGTACTGTTGAAGACAAGAACACTTCTTTCTCCAAGAAGCAGAAGTTAACAAGCATCTTGGGATAAGCACCACAGAGAAGTCAATGAAACATGGAGGCTGAACTTAGCCGCCCAATGAGGAGTTCTGCTAACAACTGTCTTGTGTTTTGGGGTCATTTTGGTTTTAATTATAATACATGAAGAGAAATGTACACTACTTACACGTTACTTTTATGGAAAGAAAACTACTTACGCATCTTTGTATTATGGCTTGAAGTTCATCAACTGCCATTATAGTTTGACTTTGTTCTTCTGGCATTGAAAACTATTATAAATTTAAAAGTGCAGTATTAAAACACATAAAGTGAAAACAAAGACTGAAAAATAATCACATTATGAAAAAAATACCAATAGAGGAATGAGAACAACTTAGATATTATGAAGACCACATGATTTAAAAAAAAACAAACTAGCAAAAATAGTATATGTTTCTTAAAAATGCATATTATTCTACTCCCTATATTTGCAGGTGACAGTATTGCAGACAGGAAACAATGTGCATTCTATGTATAGGGAAGCAAATTTTCAAGTAGTATCAGGGTCACCTTAAGAAGTTAGGAGGCCTCAGCTACTACTTGAGCACATACATTGGAAAGTGCAACTAATACAGAGCAAGTCTGGGCTCACTGTGCACCAAGCACAGATGCTCACAATACACATTTTCTGTGACTATTCTCATCAGAGGAGCTCCTGCTCAGCCCTGACTGGAACACTCTAATCTGATGCCTGGGATGTGCACAGCTGATCCAACCACCATGCCCGTTTATATCAACAGTTCAATCAAGATTACATAAGCAGTATCATTTATATCTTTCTAGTGTCTAGGTTGGGCTAGTTCAGTGGCCTTTTACCTCTAGATATTATAAGTTGGAACGTTCTTGCTAAAGACAATTAAGTTAAACATTTGAGTAATGTTAAGTACATACAAAGCTTTACATAGCCAGGACCATGAATTACAAATAAAATCAAGCTTGGTTAACCCATGTGATACATCATAGCAGCAGTCACAATCTTTATAGTTTTAAGTAATTTCATGTGCCTAAACTTGGTTGTATGATCACTATGAGTGTCAATTACCTCTACACCTGGATAATTGGCTAACTATTCATCAAAATACCCAAGTTCCATATTTATACAGATATCTCAATGTAACATCCTTAATCTTTCCTCTTACATTTGACCTCTGCTGCATCACACACCACCGAGGTAATTAAGCTACCTGGATGCTTAAAAAAAAAACAAACCAAAAAACCAAAACCAGGCAACTCACAAAAACTTCAAAAGCATCTCTGTGTGAATTTTATTATTCAAGGAATAAACAACTCACTTTTATTCTCAACAGCCTATTTTAACATTTTTATGTCACTGGGATGTATCTAGCCTGTCATTTTAATTTGGTCATTATCATATACTTTATTACCACACGTTTTACTACTTGAGCTCTTAATTTTACCGGATTTTACTAATCCTCTCAAAACAATTTAAATATACTTTTGAACGCTAATATTCTTGCATTTTCAGCCCTCAGTAACTTTACAATGTACTTACAGCCCTGAGACATGCCCGGAGCACCCACCGTGCTAGTCCAGGGATTTACCAGCTGAGCTCACATTCGGTCTTGGGCCTTAACACTTAATCCAGTTTCTAATTAAATCTTTTCAGACGTTTCGGCGGTAAGTGGACAGCATCTGAATCGTGAAACTTTCCACTATTATTACTCACCAAACCCCCTCTTCTCTAATAAACATACACATATACCTCAGCCGCTTCCCCAGGCGGGGTAGAACACGCAGGCCA